TGACAGAGAGAATGCACCCTGCCATTCGTGTGTGTCTGTGTGGGGAGGGGGGGGAGGGGCTCTTTTAGTTTAAACACAAAATTATACATAGGGCCATACTGCCCTCTTGTGTCCAAAATTATATTTATATATACATTATACATATATTTGGTATGTGACTGAGGGCCGAGAGCTTTTAAATACGGGACATTGATAATGGCCACGTGCAGAGCGCTCGAGGGAATTCCTATGGAAGTTCTGCTCGCTCATCGCCGTGGACGCGCACCGTTATGAATGCCCGTGCAGCCGTTAGTTTCATTTTAAAATTAGCGCCTTTTCTGGGGCCGATTGCTTGAATTGTGAGTTCAATAGCCTATTATTCTTCATGGAAACCACAACAACAAAAGAGTATAAAAGTTTGGTGTGAACGCAGCATAATGAACAAGCTGCGATCTCAAGATTGCAATGCTGGAGTGTGTGTGTGTGTGTGTGTGCGTGTGAGAGAGAGGCGCGGGCGAACTGTGTGTGTGTGTGTGTCTGTGTGGGGAGGGGCTCTTCGATTGATAGTTATTGTACAAAATTATACATAGGGCCATACTGCCCTCTTGTGTCCAAAATGATATTTATACATATATTTGGCAAGCATGTGACTGAGGACCGAGAGCTTTTAAATACGGACGTCCACACGGACATTGATAAGGGTTGCGCTTGCAGAGCGCTTGAGGGAATTCCTATGGAAGTAGGAATGAACTAAAAAACGTTCGCTCTGTTCTGCTCGCTCGTCGCCATGGACGCGCACCATTATGAATGCCAGTGCAGCCGCATACTTTTTAGTGTCACTTTAAAATTAGTGCAATAACGGGGCCGATTGCTTGAATTGTGAGTTCAATAGTCAATTATTTTTCACGGAAAACACAACAACAAAAGAGTACAATGATAGATTCGCTTAAATAGGGGCTTTTACATAAAATAGCCTATTCCGTCATCATCTTTTCAGTCAGCTCTTCACTCTCGTGATTAATGAAATTTGACTCCTGTTGCTGATATTTGCTGCAACTTTCGTTCCGCTCACAATTTAGTAAGCAAACACGCTTCAAATGTGTTTTTATTTTATTTTTGTGTATATATATGTGTGTATATATATATATATATATATATATATATATATATATATATAGCTTATGTTTCAAATATGAGTTAATTAACAATCGTTGGAAAGAATGATACTTTTAATATCACTAAACCGTCATTAGGTGTCGCTAGGCGACCGTCTTAATGAGCGAGTCATTGATTCATTCGTTCAAACGATTCGTTCGAACGGCTGAGTCATTCATGAATGAGACAGATTATGGATTGGTCGTTGAATCTTTGAGTCAACCGATTCGTTCAAAATGCTGAATCAGTAATGAGAACGCGTTGCTGTGAGATGCTCGATGGTTCTGCTGTGATCTTTGTTTAACTATTTTCGCTGCTGAAACAGAAAAAAAAGTCAATATTGCATCTAAAATGTAAGTGATTTGACGTGTGTGTGTGTGTGTGTGTGTGTGTGTGTGTGTGTGTGTGTGTGTGTGTGTGTGTGTGTGTGTGTGTGTGTGAGATTGTGTCTGTTACAGTGATTGTTTAACCCTTGTTAAAGTTTAGGCCTTGTCTTTTTGGATATATATCTTTTTATATAAAAAAAAATAGCATACAACCCATGTATTTTAAATGTATTGTTTGCTTTAAATTACATTAAGATTGTATGTTTGGTAATTGAACCTGAATGAATTATAAATGAATGTGCTATATTTCAGATCATATATTTGTTTTCCTTAAAATTTGAACTAACACTAACTTTATTCTCATCTGAATGATAGATTATTTATTTATGTATAAAATAAAAACACATTTGATTTTTCTTTTTTAATCAATGTAGAATGTGTAACTGAAAAAATAAACAGATTAGGGCTCTGATCGAGGACAATAAATGAAAACCAATGCAATATGATGAATGTCCAAAAGATTTTTTTTGCTTTTAAACTATGTGTGTGTGTGTGTGTGTGTGTGTGTGTGTGTGTGTGTGTGTGTGTGTAAGAGATTTCGGTTGGGTGACAGTTGTAGTTTACAGTTTGACAAAAGCACAATGTTGTGTTTTATTGTGATTGTACACAAATATAAGTAAACACTTTGCAGTTTGAATAATGTCCTGTATGAACAAAAGGACGGGGTATGTTTTTATGTCTACATTGTTCAATCACGCCTCACACACACACACACACACACACACACACACACACACACACACACACACACACACACACACACACCAACTATTTTTCTAATCAGATCAGGCAAGTAATATTCTGTCTTGGCACACTTCATATAACTTTCAAACTTGTGTACTTATTTCATGTGTGCATTAAGTCCATGAGACCGTAGGGTGTCTCATTTTTCATTTTAGGTTTCAGAAGGTTGCTCACGCATACTTTGTGGTTGATATGTGCCCTCAATGCACACTTTTGCAGAGCCCACACCAATGCAAGCTCTACAGCACACATCTTCTCAAAGGTCAAAGCGGAGTTACGATATTGCCCGTCATGCACAGTAACCCTAAAGGCACCGGGGTGGCGGTGCCACCGGCTTGTTTATATATATATATATATATATATATATATATATATATATATATAAATATAGCTGCGAGCAGCGATGAAGGGCCAAAGCCGGCGGCACCGCCACTCCGGTGCCTTTAGGTAACTAAAGGCACCGGGGTTGCGGTGCCACCGGCTTGGGCCCGTAATCGCTGCTCGCAGCTATATTTTAATAGTTGTTATTGTTGTAAAGCACACTGGTAAAATTGTTATAAAGGCTGTTATACAAATAACTTTTACATATAAAAACAAATAAATTTGAAATAATTGACATTTATATAATTAACCGTGAAGGATAGGCTACTGTGTTCAGTCAGTGTAAAGCAAAACAACTTGTAGAATAAATAAAATTGAAATGTAATTGTTTTTTTAATAGAATATAATTCAATTTACACATCCTATGTCACTACTATATTTGAAAGAATTATATAGGATAAAAAAGTAACCTAAATTTTGCAGTAATTGAGATTAAAACACTTTCATCTAGTTCAGAGAAAATGCAGAAATTAATTAAAATTGTAAGAAAAAAAAAATTTGTGAAATGCACCGTTTCCTGAGAGTGACCCATATAAACGTCTGATTCATGGACTCCATCATCGGCCTGTATAAACCTATTTGAGATGATGATCATAATAAACATACTGTAGGTCAATAAATAACAACATGAAATCAGCAACAACATGATCTAATGAACATCTTCCAGCTGTCTCTATATTCACAATGGAAAAAACCCGACACATCCGAACAAACGTCAGGAAACAAAATAAAAAAAATCAGTAACTCACATGTTTCTTGATTAAAAAATAAAGAAACAAAAAACAACTTTATTTGTCATTTGGTCCAACAGAACCTGAGATTGCAAATGAACCGTACAGATTTTTAGACTTTTATACATTTTTTTGTCCAAGAATCAATAAAATATTCTACATATTATACTCCCGCCCGACAGAGATCTGTATAATTACAGCGAGTACTTTAGATTGGATTGTGCAGAGGGGAACAGCGCTGTACAATTTACAAAAAGAAAGACAGAGAATGAGTGTGACGTCACAAAAGACAGACAGAGAATGTGTGTGATGTCACACCAGAGCCACCAACAGAGGGAGACAATGAGCAACACACATCCAGAGGAAAAATACACACAGTACTCAAGATGCAGAGACGCTGGACTAAAGATCAGTGCACAGAGAAAGTCAAACCCGCCGGCCCTCGACCAATCAGATCCAGCACAGGTCGTACAGCTATGACATCATCATGCTCACGGGACCAAACTGATGACAGATCAGCTCGCAGCTTAACTTGTGCTTCTCTCAGAAAGGTTCCGCTTTACTAAAACGCATAAATTAAAAGATGGTTTACGCATGTAACGCGCCCACATAAACCCCTAAAATCAAGTATCACCATTATGCAGATCATGTGACCCCAGAACAGTTTGCTGATTGGCTGTCAGAACGGCGAGAAACCTAAATCTCACAAAATATGTCATGAGATTGGCACACTTCACCCTAAGATTGAAGGAAGAATAAAGATTTATTTTATTTAAGGGAATTAAACCTTTATTTTGGGCTGTTAAGATATCCTGCATTGTGACGACAATGTTTTCATGGCAATTTGTGGCATTTTGCCCCAAATTCAGGTGAAAATAATGCCAAAAAAAAATTCTCATTACTGAAATGTGGAAAAAAACCCTGATATATTATTATAGATATTTGTTGTTCTGCCTTTAATGTGGTTTTAAAATTATTTTTAACTTTTATGATTTACAATCCAGCAAAAAAAAAAAATCATACTTTATGATTTACAATCCAGCAAAAATACTGCATTCAAGTAATAAGAATCTAGTTAAAATAATTCTAAATAATAAAAATTAATTGTCCAAAAGTGTGAATTTCTGGGAAACTGTGGTTAATTGTCATGAAAATAATCTAAATATAATTGAAACTCTAATAATAATAAAAATTAAGAAGTCTTAAAGTAATGTGAATTTTAGGAGAAAATGTGCTGTTTTTTTCTCCTAATATATTAATATATATTAATATATATATAATGATCCCAGAAACAGGCTCCCATTTAGCTTTTTTTAAAATATCATATTTTTCTTTTTGATGAATTGATTTTCTTTCGGGTGAAATGAGCCACATGAAATATTTTCGTGAGATTCACTCTCTGACTGAGCGCACATAAAAGAAACTAAAAAGTGAAGTCAGCTGACAGGAGACGCAGGCGAGACTCCAGGAGCGGATCTGAATGACAGTTCATCATGACACGTGTGTGTGTGTGTGTGTGTGCAGTGGGCGGGTCTTGGCTCAGCGAGCAGACATGTGATTGGCTCAGTAGTTCCACCCAGACCGTCTCAGTGCCTGCGTGTGCGTTCATCAGCACGGGTCTGCATTGGTCTATGTAGTTTCATGTCTGTCTGTGTGTGTGTGTGTGTGTTTAAGCGTGTGTCAAAGCGGCCGCGGTCTGTGCAGTCCGTCAGTGTCCGGGGTAAGTTGGGGCGAGTGTGTGGCTTTACTCGACGTCCAGTCGCCCAGAGACGCCTGCGCTGCTTTCCTATGGGCCAATCTGTGTGTGATGGAGAATCCAGCGTTCCCCTCCAACTGGGACAGGACCACCAGTACCTGCCTGAAACACACGGCAGAAAACACACGGGTTAGTCTGAGAAAACACGACACTGCTGCTCGGTTAGTAAAAACACATGCACAGAAAGCACTTTTAGGCATCACAAGCATGAGGGCTTTTCTAAAAGGTAAGCAGCAACATTATAATGCATATAAAGATACTTTCTTTGCCTAGTTTTAAGGCAGCATCACATGTTTACTTCACAGAGAAGATGCATTGCAATGCGGTCACTGGATGAATCCGACATGGTGGATGACTTGAGAGAAATTCACATTATTAATATATTCCACTTTCACTCAATGCAGACGAGTAGGCTATAGAGTAAATACAGATGATAATAATCTGCTAACACCGAAGTCAACTGAATTGTGAGTCTAAGGGAAAATGTACTTAATTGTAATGAAAATAATCTAATCTAAGTGTGATGATAATAATAAAATAGTGGTCCTAAAAACAGAATTAATTTTCCTTTTTTTAATTTAAGGTAGAAGCATATACATAAGATATTTATAATCATTAAAACAAGTTATTTATATTATTAGGTTATATTATCATTTTTATATTAATGTAACTTACACATCTTTAATTGTTGTTTTTTTCACTCTGCTAAACTGAAGCTCAAAAGTATTATTATGACTGATCTTTACTCATGACTTTATTTAAGTGAAATGAATATGTGTGTGTTGACTGAAACGGCAGAACGACGAGGGCTGTATTTAAAGCATGTGAATGACCGGAGGGAGATTCGGCTATGAATACTTCAGAGGTGAAAATCCACTCTGTCATGTGGCTCTCGCTGTGAACAAACCTTAAATAAAAACACTTCAGGAACTAACAGGACTAACATTCACAATGTTTTCATCTGGAGCTGGAGGAACAACGGCCCGTTCTCGTTCCTGTTCCTGTTGCTGTCAAATAAAAGGAAGCCTCGAGCAAGATCCTGTCCAGGGACCGCAGATGAAAAATAGCCTTTGGCTAATTCTGGTGCATTTACAGAAATGTTTTATTAATGTGCAATGCCCCTGTTAACTAAACGAATAAAAAAAGAATTGATGTTTCCGCAAACTTCAGAAAGGAGAAGTGAATCACTTTCAGTGCACAATGTGTGTGTGTACCTGTGCAAGGGCGGCACGCTGTCGATGGTCTTCAGGCTGCCTCGGGTCGACACCACATTGAAGCTGTCAGTACAGTCACATGACACATGGAGGTAGTACTTTGGGTGACGGTTCTCCACGACGACGATAAGCCCCGCCCACCCGTGAGTCAGGTAGTAACATGTCATCCCTTCACGACCCTTAGACATGAGATCAAGAAATCACATCATAAAACTGTCATCCTTGTCGTTTGCTATAAAGTATAATTAATAAAATAATGATATATACATATATACACACGCAGTATATAATACACACACATACTATACATTTATTATAAACATCTAATAATATAAAAAAATAATAAATTATTATTTATTAAAATATTAAAATTATTTATTATATGTATTTTTTATTATTGTATATTTTATATTATATATATATATTCATAATTATGATTAATACTATAATTTATGATTATATTAATTAAAAACATACAATAACATTTATTTACTTTATATATAATAAAATGTATATATATATAATAAAATAAATAAATATTTTTATATAATGTATATAATCACTAAATATATATACATTTTATATAATGTATATAAATCAATAAAGTATATAATAATAAATAATACCACATATATATATATATATATATATATATGATAAAATACATATAATAAATATTATATAATGTATAAATTATGTAACAAACATATATCAAATAAAGAAATAATACTATATATAATGTAAATTATTAAAATCCTATTAATAATTAAAGTTTGCAATGACATTAAATTACATGAAATAATATACATATTTTAAGTTAACCATTTTTTTCCTATTATAACTCATATATGCTCAGTATGATTTCTAAAAACTGATCATAACATTCAGAGCTGATGGAACTGACTGGAGTCACAGTGTTAACAAATAAATTGAATATATATATATATATATACACACATACATATTTATATATTTGTCTGTGCTCCTCTTAGGTTTAAAATATGATAAAAGTCATCACATTTGATATACGATGGTATAGCAAGTTCTCCACACAGTGTGTGTGTGTGTGTGTGTTCCTGTACCTCATGTCTCTCCCCCTTGTTCTCCGTCATCAGGATGATGGCATCAGCGAGTGTTGTGGACGGGGCCTCCACCTGCTCCACCATCACCTGTCTGGAGCTGTAGATGGCCAAGATGTACCCTGGGTAATCCTGACTGGGTCTCCGGGCGTTAGTGGGACTGGACACTGTCAAAACACGCACAACATGATGAAGAGGACCTATTATGCCCTTTTCCCAATATTCATCTTTCTTTAGTGTGTAATGTTGCTGTTTCTCTGTATCAGTGCCAGTGTTTCTGAACTCCCTGAAACGCCTCCAGTGTAGTCTTCAGTTTTTGTTCTTCCAGGAACCAACACTTCACAATATTCCTCATTTAAATAATTCATACGCAGAATAAAGGGGCGGGGCCTGGATGAGTTAGTTAGTAGTGTGTTGAAGCTGGCGGATATGGTAAGGGGGTGGGGCATGAAAACTATGTATAAACCTTAATTAAACAATGTAATAATCAATTAAAAGGAATTTATACTGTATGATATTCTGGCTGTAGCCACATTAGACCAGCGGTTTGGAAAATGGATGGATGGATGATTCAGCTGCGGCGCCATCTTCTGGTCAGACGCGGGAATTCATTCAGCACACGACTCTCATCATGCATTATGGGTATTTTATAGCCGTTGCGCGCATAGATATCCATAATAAAGGCTAGATGTCTCGTCCGCGCTGCTGGCCAATGAAGGTCAACGTCGGCACCTGGCGGCCATCTTGTCACAGGCAGCTCGCTCACTCGTAACATTGTGTTTTAATGGTGCATGTACTTTTTAAATAACGATAACTTGCTCAATTTTTTACCGATTTTCAAACGGTTTGGTTTGTTATAAACGTCAGAGATGTAGTTATGACACTGCATACTTATGAATAATAAGTGCATCAATAAATAATCATCCAGAATTATAGCCACGTTAGTAACGTTTGTAAGAAACCAAACCGTTTGTAAATCCGTCGAGATTTCAACGAGATAAGAGTATTTGTGTTCGTGCTGATCACTCATCTTACATCAGGCACCACAGAGCCCGCCAGAAAGCTTGCCTGTGACAAGATGGCCGCCGGTGATGACGATAGAGACTCCGCCGTAAGACATCTAGCCTTTATTATGGATATCTATGGTTGGTGGCTTTCCCTTTAAATTGTGCTCTATTCAAGGATATAGGGGGCGATTTAAGACACAGTCCAATTCTTTTCTGCGAACTGGTTATTTCGGACAGTTCGTTTCAATGAACCGGTTCAAAAAAACGATTCACCAGTTCGTTTACATAAACAACGATGTCGCATTTACGCAATTGTACTATAAAAGCACCCAATAATGATGTGAAATGCAGATGTTTTGCATGTCTAAAGCATATAGTGAATAAACTAGTCTTAATCAACTCACCTTTTTACAATAAACCATGAGAAACCATTTAAAAATAACCTTTAATTTCACCCCTCATTCAAGTCAGCTGCTCGTTTTTTTGCGGACATGTCCGAGTCGGAACTGTTGTGACCATTAACAGACTCAGAAACACACATTTTGCCCCATTACGAAACCCTCGGCACACATGTCAGACATGCCGGAAAGACTGTTCTCAGTTCAGTGTACTGTTGGACTAACCGGAGCGCTGAACGAGTTAGCGAAATAACCCACATCATAGGATCAAATACTCCAGGATATTGGCTCATTTGGAGATGGAGTGACTGTCAGACACGTCTGAAAGTGAGTTAGATTGAGTAACTTGTAGATCTGTGCTGACTTGAGCATCGAACGGTTTCAGACGGTTCAGTCCGATTTGGTGAACTGATTCAGCCAGTTCACTAAAAAGAACCGATTCGTTCGCGAACCGGATATGACTCGAACTAAACAGAGCGTTACTGACAGACTGGGAAGAGAGGAGCTGCAAATATGGGAAAAATAATGTTTGAACATATGAAAACCTGTTCTATTAGAGCCCAAAAACCAAATCAAGACTTTGTAAATGGGCATAACATGGCCTGTTTAATCTTGTCCAGTGTTTCTGGTTTGTACTCCAGCGCCGTCTCTCCGTCTGTGTACCTGGTGTTGACGTCCCGGTCAGGTCCATCTGCCAGTGGTTGAAGGCACAGCAAACCACCGCATACTCTCCCGGCTCCAGCATCACATCACATCCTACAAACTTCTTCACCGCGCGCTTGCTGTGTGCTAACAGACGCCCCAGTACCAGCTTATTCCCGTTACCGAACGAGGCCCGGAAGACCATAATGCACAGATCCAACAGGTGACTGTCAGCCGTGTCTGAGCGCCTGGTGGATTGAGAGCGGTTTTATTTTTGTTGTTGTTGTTGTTGTTTGTATGATTAATATTTTATGTCTTTATTCATTTTGATGTGATTTACCTGCTGCCCTCCTGGAAGAGGGCGAACTCCAGCGCGGTTCTCTCCAGGACCGTGAGCGCGGTCACGGTCACCGGTTTACTCGCCCGGCACGGGAAGCAGCCCTGCAGACGCACCTCCTGCCAGTCAGCATGAATCTTGCAGATATCCACCGAGTCAAAGTACCTACACACAACATTCACCAACCATGTTCTGGTTATTTAACTACATCTACTGATAGACTGATACATGGGCGGAAAATTGTTCAGCACTTTGGTCAGCCCTGTTTGCTGTTTTTAAATGTGCTATATAAATAAATACAAACTTGAAACTTGAAAATATTATATTTTGGCCATTTTGAGCATCAGTTGATAATTAAACCTGATAAACAGAAATGTCTTGGAATCAGTTCCAAAATCTGGATTTGTTGATTGATGGTTCAAATTTGAGTGAATTTTAAAGTAATACTATTATTATTATTATTTTTAAATAACTTATTTTTTTCCTTATTTTATTATTAAACAACATGTATAAAATACTAAATTAATCATTTTAAATTTAATAATTTTATTAAAACAATAATTATTTGGTGTAATATATATATATATATATAATCTGTTATATTTTAATATAATATTTCTAATTAATATAGTTTAAAACAAGTTTTTTTTCAAATTTATGCAGATCTCATTTGTGATCATTAACAATGTATTAAATATAAAATTAAATTTGAAATATTTTCAATAAAAATGGTGTAATGAAGTATTTTATTTTTGCTTTCAAATGTATGTAGATCATCATACAATACTTTTTAAAATAATTATGTAAAATAAAGTAGATTCCATTAGTCATCATTAAATAATATGTACCGGTACATAATATAAAATTAATTAAAAGTTTAATATAATTCTTTAATTAGGATTTTCAGAAAACATTGCTTTGATACGATCATTTTTAAAAAAATGCATGTAGATCTCATTAATATATAATCTAACATACACATAATCTACAGGCCATGAGCCTCCAGGACATTTCTATCTCTTCTGACCACTAATGAGATCCTCTTTATTTATGGAAAGCTCTGATGAAGATCATCTCAGATTAAAGGTCAATTTAGCACAGATGAAGCCGCTAATGACTCACTTAATGAAGTCTCCGTACTCCATCCAGAACACGCCTTCACTGCTGCCGTGAGCCATGAGCTCGTGACGCAGATGCTGAGGCCAGTCGGCCCACTCGTCCGACCAGGAGCCGTTCCAGGAGAACCGGCCCCAGGGGTTCCTCAAACGCAGCAGTCTGAAACACGACACCCGCAGGCCTTTATCACAACCACTCACTGGATTCACAACAGCTTTGCTAACACGACGACGAGCGATGGCTTTATTATTCCATCACAATACAGGGTTTTTCCAGGGTCAAAAATGCTCTTTGGTGGAGGCTGACACACCCGCAATAAAAAGTGCCCAATATGATCTGCAAACCAATACTGACAATATATCTCAAATAAATGCAAAGAAACAGTTTGTGATTTTATTCATATTTTGATATCTCATATATTATGCATGTTCTCTTACCTTGATGCGTGTTTCTTTTGTTCCTCATTGTTTAACTAATAGTTATTTTGGTATGTAATCATATCAATATTAAAAAGAAGGATTCAAAAGTTATAATCGAATTTTCTACTATATACAATTGAATACAATTAGCAGAGAGCTAACAACACTTGCTTTGTTCTGAAAACACTTAACATGCGCCCTGTCACAAGCGAGTCATCTCTCATAAATCATAATAACTGATTGAATAAGGCTTTGGCGGGACACAAATTAGCCAAAAAATGGCGAATGCAGGAAAAACCCGGCAATATAAAAACAACTCACTTCCTCGTGCATGTGAAAAATCGTATGACCTCAGAAAACCAGAATGGACTACATTTTTTGTCCTTTTTTCAAGCATGACAGCGTGAATCATTTCCACTCTTATGGAAACAGTGTTATACGTCATCTTTTGTGTCGTATGGGTGAACACTTTGATATCTCTCATTATTTAGCCTATGTTGTGTGCTGATGTTGCTTGTTACTTATTGTTGTATCTGTCTTATCACTAGTTTTCTATGTTGTTATTATTTGTGGACTGTAAAAACGTCATTTTATGTTTTTTATATCTTGATTTTAGGTTGCCTTCATAATAACTGGCCAGGGACAACAGATGAAAATTAGCCTGTTGAGCTAACTCTGGCTCATTTACAGTTATTTTACTGTAAAATAAACGAATAAATGAAATGAAATGAACAAACCCTTCTTCAACAGTGTGCATGTTGTGATTGTGTGTCTGACCTGTAGCCCTGAACGTCTCTGACGTCCAGTATGGAGTATGCGTGTCTCGGACGGAGTCCCAGAGATTCATACACAGCGTCATCAACCTTCATGTTTCCGCCTCCACAAGACGCTCCCATCAGAAAACTGACACACACACACACACACACACACACACACACACACACACACACACACACACACACACACACACACACACACACACACACACACACACACACACACACACACACACACACACACACACACACACAGAACGCAACAACACCTAGTAAATATTCATCAGTCACTTATTTACTTACAACTATATAACACTGCTATTTTAGTATCATTGATATACTATTAGTTTCTATTAATAACTTAAATTAGTTTTTTCCATTTAATGTTTTAATAATTTTGTTGTTTTTGTCATTTTTATTAGTTTTTGTGGAAACACTTTACAATAAGCTTTCATTTGTTTACATTAGTTAACGGACTAACAGTGATAAACACTTCTAAAGCATGTATTAATCTTAGTTAATAATATGAATTTCAACATTTACTAACACATTTTATCTGTTAACTTTATTTAATGGATCTGAGCTAACATGAAATAGCAATGAACAGTTGTATTTTTATTTATTAATTTTCACAAAGATTAATAAATACTGTATCAAATGTATTGCTCGGTTAATGTTAGTTAATGCATTAATTAACGTTATCTAACAGGACCTTATTGTAATATATAGTCTTTATAGATTTTTATTTCAGTATCAGTTTTAGTTATGTTAGTACTTCAAGTTAAACTAAATATTATTTATATTTTATTTCAAGTAACAATAATGTTATTTTATGGTATTAGTTAACTATAATAATAACCCTGGCGTATAAATACCATATATTCAAATTATTAAATAACACACTTCATAGCACATTCAATTCAAAATATGTACAACATATTAATCTTGTTTATTAATATTTTTAGCTGATATATTTTAAACTATTTTTTTAAATCATTTTTTCCAAAACAAATAAAAATACAGAACTTAACACACCAGGAGAATCACAAAAACAGACATTTGTGTAAACATTTTATATAATATTTTTTCATTTGATATTAGTTAATATTTTATATAAAATTATTATAACAATATTTAACATAATCCGATAAGTGTGTCTTTAAGACATATTATAATATTTATTATAAATATTCTAATAACTAGAGGTGGGCATAGATTAATTTTTTTAATCTAGATTAATCTAGATTAATATTGAAATTAATCTAGATTAATCTAGATTAAAATGGCTCATTTGAATTCTCCCGAAGGCATTCAGAATATGTCTGCTACCCAAATAATGACTAAAAGTAAGTATTTGAGAATAGTTTGCCTCGCGTAGGGATGTGCATTTCTGCCAAAAATGCCATTCGACAATCGAGGAGCAAAAGTCGAATATCGTAAAAAAAAAAAAAAACAAAAAAAAAAAAACGCAATGACAGAAAGGGAGGCCAATTTCATCTTTAGCAATTTGTCATCAAACAAACTGTTTATTAATTGAACAAGTAACATGTTTTCGTCCTTTTTTAAAAATAGTAGGCTAATTGGAAGAAGAAGAAAAAACAATACGCACGACAGTCCGTTTTTGCATCGCCAATGCTCGTTAGATCAAAAAATAATGTCATGTCATAAGAATTTTATGTGAACCTGCCTTGTTACTGCAATAGCCTCATTTTTAAACAAATTAGTTTCAATCAATGTAAACTATTCGTGTGATTATGCCACTGCGCAATACACGCGCAATATACACACACAATGTATTACCTGAATGAAATGAAATCAAATGTATCGTCCTGTGGAATCATTCATTCACAGACAGCTTACGAAGATGTTCAACTAATAAAGATCTTCATCGCTGGCAAAAATATGATGCATTTGCAGATTTGCATTCACTAGACTAGACTGTAGATCGGCCACTTCATCCAGCGCTCTTGATGCTCTTAAATCTTCCTGTTTCGACTCCGAGTGTGAATTGAAAGCGCTTCAGACGATTCAGTGCGCGAGGAACTGAACAGATCAACTGATTCGCGAACCGATTTAGACGGATCATCTGACAACTTGTTTGATGAAGTCTTTGAACAGAATCGACTCAAAAGAGTGATTCATTTGTAAATGAGCATCGCTCATGCCCATACAAGGACACAGCGCGCTTGGAATAAACTCATTTAACAACGTATTGCATTAAAATAAAGTAACGAGAGGAACGTCGCCCAACGTAACAAAGTAAAAGTACACCTTGTGTCCCTGACAGGAAAATACCCTACTGCGCGATCTGTGACAGTAGGCGCGGCGTCATACTACACATTAGAATTGCGCGAAAATATAACGATATTCGAAAAAGCTATTTATGATCCAAACCCAACTTTGATTAACGGCGATATTTTTTTTATCGCCCGATAAGAGTCTCACGTTAACGCAGCACGTTAACGCCGATAACGGCCCAGCACTACTAATAACAGTTATAGACAATGTTTATAAATGATATGAATACCAATCTTTTGCAATATAATTTGCGCTTTTCAGCTGATACTGTGTGTATGCGGACACTAATTGCCTGGTAATTTGAGCCCTGAAACTGACAAGTAGCCTAGAAACACTTTAAAATCCACTTTCCAATTTGTAGTGGCACACGTTTTTTCTTTTTTTTTTAAAAATCCAATTTTCTTGTCTTGTCTTTTAGCCTTTATTATAAAGGACAAAAGATGCCTTGTCATCTTATAATGTGCCTTGAAATGACTAAATCACAGGGCCCAATTTACAGGACAATTAGTATAATAATCTTGAGTGTGTGTAAGCCGTACCCCGCCTCTTTGGAGCTGAGCATCTTAGCCCATATGAGGTCCGTGTCGATTGGTTCTTCACGGGGGTTGGTTGAGCTGACCTGCAGCATCAGACTCTCACAGGGGGCGCCAGTGAGCGTCGCCAAACCCTCGATGGCACGGCCGGCCTGCAGCGCAAAATACGAGCCGTGCAGCTTCGCAAGAGCCTTTTCTATCAGCGCCACCCACAGCTGCCTCCGCTGAGCCTGGACGTGACACAGCAACACAAGCCGTTAGCAGGAAAGAAAGCAGCACACAGGGATGCCCTCGATGGAGTACAGGAACTATTTCCAACTGTACAATCTGTATAATTGTATCTTTTACTCAATGTCATCGCTATGAAACTTTAAGTGATGACTAATTTTCATGCAAAAAAGTGTTTTGTTTATCACTTGCAGTGTGAGCGTAGGAAGAAATTTACTTGCATTGATTAAACTCTTTACTTTCATAAAAAAAACTTTAAAATATAGTAATATTATTACATTCAATATACTTAATGATAGCAACATTTACATAATGATAATAGTTTTATTTTATATGAACTTATGACAGTAGTAGTTTACAATTTAAATATTAATGAGACTCTTTTGAGTAATATTTTCAAATGATTATATATATATATATATATATCTGTCAACTAGTGTACTGCATACAGCTCAGTAAACAGTGTATACTACCTACAATTTAATCATAATATATATATATATATATATTTATATATATATAAATAAATATGTCAAATATATGTCAAATATATATATATGTCTCATCTTAATATTTAAATTGTAAACTACTACTGTCATAAATTAATATAAAATAAAACTATTATCATTATGTAAATATTATATAAATATAATAGTAATTTTTCAAAAAATTATATATATATATAGACAAATATATATGTCTCATCTTAATATTTAAATTGTAAACTACTACTGTCATAAATTAATATAAAATAAAACTATTATCATTATGTAAATATTATATAAATATAATAGTAATTTTTCAAAAAATTATATATATATATATATATATATATAGACAAATATATATGTCTCATCTTAATATTTAAATTGTAAACTACTACTGTCATAAATTAATATAAAATAAAACTATTATCATTATGTAAATATTATATAAATATAATAGTAATTTTTCAAAAAATTATATATATATATAGACAAATATATGTCTCATCTTAATATTTAAATTGTAAACTACTACTGTCATAAATTAATATAAAATAAAACTATTATCATTATGTAAATATTATATAAATATAATAGTAATTTTTCAAAAACATTATATATATATATATATATAGACAAATATATATGTCTCATCTTAATATTTAAATTGTAAACTACTACTGTCATAAATTAATATAAAATAAAACTATTATCATTATGTAAATATTATATAAATATAATAGTAATTTTTTAGATAAAAAAAATATTTGTCATTCCATTGATTTTACAATTAAAGGTGCAATGTGTAATAATTTTGAGTATCTATTAACAGAAATGCAATATGACATCCATAACTATGTTTTCAGAGGTGTATAAAGAACTTACTTAATAAACCGTAATGTTTTTATTACCTTAGAATGAGACATTTATATCTACATAGGCGCGGGAATCCCCTTCTATGAAGGTCGACATATTGTGACGTCATGTTTCTACCGTAGCCGACAGCGAACAAACAGCGTTACAGACCGCGTTTCATCACTACCTTGAAAGAGAAGCCGCAGAAACCTAGAAGCTAGCCATAAACACCGTGAGTAGTGACTTTTCCCTTGTCAGTGGTGTAAAATATGTAGTTGGACTGTTTCATGTACCGTATTTTCCGCACTATAAGGCGCACTTAAAAGCCTTTGATTTTCTCAAAAAACGACAGCGCGCCTTATAATCCGGAGCGCCTTATATATGGATGGTGAACACACGTTCACCAAGCCGGGGAGACAGCGCCGGGCGACTTACGCCACTATCTGCCAATGGATCGTGGATGCCTGGGCTGATATATCAGTCTCAACTGTGATCCGAGCTTTCACGAAGGCAGGAATAATCTCTTTATTCAGCCAGCTCACATACCCGTATTTACTTCCTGTTTTCGGCCGAAGTCCACAGTAGTTGATTGTCGAGTTCGCGCGTGCGATCAAACCTCCTCCGTGTGTTCAACATCTGATTCGGATGAACAATCCATTTGAGCTGATATTCTCATAACACCACACAGCACCGTCATCGGCTGACAGCTGACAGTCTGAGTCTCCACTGTTGCTTAGTTACCAATGATCGCGCGCGCGCACTCGACAATCGCCTACTGTGGACTTCGACCGAAAACAGGAAGAAAATACGGGTATGTGCAGTCAGATTCACCGTGTTCACTCACATGGCTGTGCACTTGTAATGACACATTAAGGTTGTTAAGAGGCTAAAAGCAGGTTTAAAACTTGTCCCGTTTAAGTCATCAGGGTGCAAATTTTAAAAAGAGGATAACACGGTGTAGGCAACACCGGTTTTTGTCGTTGTTATCTGTACTGACAGCACTCCAAATTTTAAAAAAATGAGCTCAATGTTAAAATTGACCGGAGTTTTCCTTTAACGTTTGAACAACGTTACCATGGGAGTGAACGGAGTTGTCAGAACGCTTAATAAAGTTTGACTTTATCTGACTGTTTTGTTGACATTCCCTTTAGCACATCTAGTGGATGCATAACGCAAACCCAGTCAAACGTTTGACTGCAGCATCTTATGCGCCTTATAATCCGGTGCGCCCTATATATGAAAAATGTTCTAAAATAGGTCATTCATTGAAGGTGCGCCTTATAATCCGGTGCGCCGTATAGTGCGGAAAATACGGTAACTTAGTTCTTCTCCCTCGCTGTGTTATGGCTTTGCTATGTGGGGATAAATGTGCTGGTTAAGTTCGTGAGACAGCTGATTAGTACTCTTGTCATTGACCGTAAAACAGTAACGTTACAGGAATCACCAACCCGTCGATCGCGGTCGACAAGTCCATCTTGGAAGCATTTTAAGTCGATCGCGAAGAGTTTTCAAAATCAGAGAAAAAAAGCCTATTGTGTGTAGTAAATGGTGTCTAGGGGATGCGGAGGCGCGCGCTGTTACAATCGCGTCATTTTTGCCGCACGCACCTTTGGGCTCATGCGGACGCGTCGAGTTTAAACAAGGCTTTACGCTTTAACCAGCTCAGCCACAGTAACAGCTCATATTAGCCAGCTAAACTTTTACTACCCTGTTAGAAAAAATATATAGTTGCATAGTTTCATGTGGTTCTTCTCCATCGCTGTATTATGGGTTTGCTATGTGGGGAGAAATGTGCTGGTTACGTTCGTGAGACAATCAGCTGATTACTATTATTATATTATGTATATTATGTATATATATTTCAGGATCCTCACCTGAAACTTTATCCATGATGTGGTTTATAATGGACTGTGGTACAGAAACTTGGTTTACGCTGGCTATTCTCTGCTGTCTCAGACGACGATGTTTGTCCCGTTTTAGCCACTGTAGCTTCTTCGAAAGGGAGGGGTGAGCGGTGGGCTGAGCCCTTAGTGTAAACTCGCAACCGAACCGCTAGATGTCGCTAAAAATCACACACTGCACCTTTAACTACAATTACTTTATCACTACTTCACGTTGTTTACTTTGGTTGGCAACATTTGAAACTGCTCAGTGACCGTGTTTCTCTCAAATAATCATGATCAGGCAATTAATGACAAAATAAGGGCTTAAATAAATCAGGCGTGACAAACTCAACCACAGCAACACAAACCTGTGAGAACAGCAGAAAGCCGTATTCGTCGCAGGGCAGCATGTCGTCCACCAGAACCGTCGTCCACGTTCCATCTTTACAGAGCCGGACCTGATACGCTCCCTCATGGCACATGGTTCTGGTGATCATCACACGTTCCACCAACTCGGGTCGCTCCGCTAGCACTGCCAGAGCGCTTAAGAACCTGCGAAACACAGCAGCAACACTTCAACGTTTCAATCCTACATCATTTTCTTTAAAACACGTGAATGCACCATTGAACAAACCACTAAACTGTGCTTTAAACTGACTGTGCTCACAAACCATCAAAACACACCGAAGATGATAACTGGACGCCACTTGCACAAATGAGGTCATGTGACAAATATTTAAAATACAGTATTATACATACAATTGTGATTAAATTGTAGGCAGTATACACTATTTACTGAGCTGTATGCAGGACACTAGGTGACAGAGATAGATGATAGACACACTTCTCTTACCAGCAATTACCCAGAAGGCCTTGCAGAATGTCAGAGGGGCGGGGCGTCCTGAACACGGACCATTTCACACCACGATCCTTAAAATTATTGCAGTTAATCTCATGAGGGCGGAGCCACTTTTTGATTCGCTGCTGGACGCTGTCATTCTCGGGGAACCCGACCGAACGCGGGCCAGGAGGGAAACTGTCATCCACGAAGTTCACCGCGTTCTACAACAAAAACACAAGAACTTTGTAAGGTATTACACACACAAAAAACAGCATGTGCCATCATTAAATGTGTATAGAAAATAAAATGAATTACCATTTTTGTTTAGCAAACAGTAATACAGATATATACACACACAAAACAAATATAGACCTGGGAAATGCAAATACCACAGAAATAAGCTAGCTTACAAAAAACAAGATGAACCGCATGATACAAGAGGAAACAAATGACCAAACAAACATACAAACATAAAAAAGCAATATAGATGAACATAATACATATACATCTACGCTCACATTATATATATTTATATATATATACATACACGCATTGTATATCTCCACATCTAGAATTGAAAGTATGATATTATTATAATTTATTATTTATCGTTCTTACATAAAAAATGTGTATGTATTAATAAATAATGTATTTTATTTAATGACATTTTCCATCATTAAATAAGCATATGAAATAAATGTAATTATAAAATGAATGAATTATTTATAATGTAATATAATTTAATAAATACAGTAAAGTTTTTTTTTTCAAATATATGTAGATCTTATTTGTCATCATTACATAATGTGTATACGATATAAAACGAACTAAAATTCTACGATAATATTTTTAATGAATATGATGTAAAATAATTCTCTTTTTTTTCAAATTCATGTAGATCTCATTTTCCATCATTGCCAATACATATATAACAAATTAATTAAAATGTTAATATAATATGGTATAACATAATTAAATGTTTTTGTTTTTATGTAGATCTTTTTTGCCATCATTAAATAATGTGTTTATAATGCACACATACAGACTGGAAGTAATTGTGAATTTTATTCAAAGCATCTAGACTTAGTTTATTATGGTTTAATACATTTAGAGTAAAATCTTTAATCAGGCAAGAATGCCAAGTCACCTTAATAAAAACAACAATGCTACAACTAATCACTGTCAGTGTGAACATCTTTATAAAGTCTACATTTTGTGCATCAGATAAAGACACTGTGAAGAGTGACGAAACATGTAAAGATGCAATAAACCAGCCCAGAAGCTTCTGGCCCAAAACTGCAGCAGATATTCTGCAGGAATGTATATCGTCACAGGAAAAACACGTATATGCCGGAGAAATAGGGGTCATTTTGACTCTGGGGAGCTGTTTAATTGCTGTTGCAACCGTTTCTAAAAATACGTCTCCCAGGTTGCGAGCGCAGACAGTCGCAGATCGGACAGGGCGCTGGGAAAGATGTGTTCAGACATGGAAGTGTGGTGAATATAAATGCCAACTTGCATTTTAAATGTTCAAAATCCCATTTGAAATAGAAAGAGAGTGTTGGAAATACTACCTGATTATTAAATCATATTATGTTAAAGGGTTAGTTCACCCAAAAATTAAAATGATGTCATAATGACTCACCTCATGTCGTCCCAAGCCCGTAAGACCTCCGTTCATCTTCGGGACACAGTTTAAGACAAGACAATACAATGCTGAATAAAGCCGTAGTTTTTGTTATTTTTGGACCAAAATGTATTTCCGATGCTTCAACACACTCTAACTAACCCACTGATGTCACATGGACTACTTTGATGATGTCTTTATTTCCTTTCTGGACAATGACAGTATACCGTACATACATTTACAATGGAGGAACAGAAAGCTCTCGGACTAAATCTAAAATATCTTAAACTGTGTTCTGAAGATGAACGGAGGTCTTACAGGCTTGGGACGACATGAGGGTGAGTCAGAATGACATAATTTTCATTTTTGGGTGAACTAACCCTTTAATATACAATGTGCTAAATATGCAGAAAAAAACATCAGGTTCTTAACTTAAAGTTAATGATGCGTCAGCTTTCATTATGGACCTATTCTGAAGTGAGAACATCTGGGTCAAACCACAGCTGCACATATAACTGAAACTAACAGTCATCTAGGTTGATCTGATCACAAGTTCTCAGATAAGATCGCTCAAAGCTTCTGCAAATGTGGTCAGGGACGCTTACGGCCGCGTCACATTTGCAGTGGAAACGCTAATGCAACCCGATGTGAACCCCTAAAACACTGAAGGACCATCTAGTTATGCAACAAAAAAAAACAAAAAAGATGTGCTTCATCTTAGCTTGGCCCAGAGAAAACCTGAGGATTCATATCATGCTGCATCGACCCTCCTGCGGAAATAACACGTACTCCAGAAACCAGAGAAAATCTCCGATCACAAGAGGTCACCGGAGAAGCATTTGAGACGTGAAGTGTCTTGTAGTAGCATCCAAATATGTTCAACCTCTAATAGGACACTAAGCACTTATTACTGGTAATGTAGACATTATAAGCTCTGTTTGGGATCATACTGTGGCTTGCCTTGATTTCAACCTTTGGTTTGTACAATCACACATTCCTTTAAGAGGAGTTTGAGATTTTTATTTTTAAAGGCCTGTTATTTCATGGATCCAGGATACTATGCATCCTGATAAAGTTCCCTTGGCTTTTTGGGATTAAAATATCCCCACATCATCACATATGAGACCTTCCCCATACCTAGAGATGGATGCACAGTATCCTGGATCTATGAAATAACTGGCCTTTAAAAATAAAAATCTGCCTGCCTCTATGGGAATTTAATATAGGAGTGTCCTGACTTATGCATCATGTATTTTAAGGAAGAACATTTATTTATTTACGATAGATTGTTCATTCACAAAGAAAATTGGTGTCCTCAAAGGTGGGATTTTCCTCTTCATTTTTTAAATTAAGCCATTATGATCAATTTCCAAAAGATGATTTTTTTTTTCCTCTTTTTAGTCAACTTTAGCATGGGTGTGTTTACTTATGCAAAGCACTGTATTGAATCTGGACGAGGATCACGAGACACTCGTCTTGACTATGTCCTTTCTGCCTGAACAGAACTTGAAAAGCTGTACAACTGCTGTCAGCATCTCCTCATACACAAAGTCTGACCACTTTCCCCTCCAAGAAGGTCAGAAATATATCAAATATTCAGCAGATATGAGGGCGCCGCTGGTTTCATAATGCACTGTGTTTTTGATACTGGCTCGGTTTCAAAGACAGCTGCGGTTTGATACCAATGAAATGTCAAGAGAACGGATGTTTAAATGATGGAACATTAGTATTTAGCCGGGTGTAATCGAGAGAAATACATTACAGTATACTGTGAACACTACAAATATGTAGAGGTGCACCAATGTATCAAACACTGACATTTAAACCGATATTAAAAACAGATGGCTCATTAATAATTAATTAGGTAGATCTAATGTGTTGGATAAGGTGTATATTTGCATATATATTCACTGAATGCTTTTATTTAGAAAGGATGCATTAAATTGATCAATAAAGACATTTATAATGTTTCAAAAGATTTCCATTTTAAATAAACGCTGTTCTTTTGAACTTTCTACTCATCAAAGGATCCTGAAAAAAAAAAAAAAGTGGAAAATCATTGTACTAATTCGTACCCATTGTCTCAGTTAAATAATGACCACAATCTAAACTAAATAAATAAAACGAGGGAACGAAATAGTACAACATGGCCATGATTGACCTAAAACGAGTAAATAAGTTTTCATGTGCGTAAAATATAGAGTGTCGCTGTTAGATATTGAAATTATTATCATATATGGCAAAAAAGTATGAATCGGTGCATCTCTAGAAGCCACCATATGTACTTAAACTGATCACACTTAAGCATTTTTAATTTAAACTGACACGTGTCTTACCTCTCTACAGAAGCTGACGATATTTTCCCACAATTCCTTGGCCTCTCCCTCATCCGTGCGTCGTCGGGCCTCCACATGCATGCTCTCCCTGCGTTTGAGCGGTTTCCCTGTTTTCCGCAGGTTCAGGTACTGCTGCGGGGTGTGACACGCGGCGCAATGCTTCATCCTCCCTTCGTTCAGCAGTGTGCATGCAGGACACGTCCACTGACACACAATCTTGTCCTGCGCCGATGGGGACGAGACAGAGGACGATGAGGCGGGAGTGAAGGCACGCGAGTGGGAGTGCGGTTGTTTCCGAGAACACGACGAGCAGTTGGACGGCTCGGAAAAACCGTGCAGCTTGGACGACCCGCAGGCCGTGCAGTGGCCCGTTCCCGTCGGATTGCGTAACGTACATTTGGAACACGCCCAAGAGCTGAAGTCCGGGCTGGACGGCGACGCCGGCGTGAAGCGCACCGATTCGCCCAACACGTCGATGACATCACCACCTGAACCCGGCCGCGAGCCTCGACATGCGTCGCACCGGCCGGCGGATGACGAAGGAGGAGCCGTTGGGGCAGAGCATCCGGGGCACTTCCAAGAGGGCGGAGACGTGACTGGAGGGGCGGGGTTGTTAGGCTCCTCCTCCTCCAGCACACTTAGGCGCTTGTTTGGGTAATTGTCTGATGGTGGGAGGGGCTTGGATTTGTTAGGCGGGCAGGTTGAGGGTGATGTTGGTGAGGGGGCGGGGTTTGGGGGCCGCCCAGGGGGCGGGACTTCCCTCCGGCTTCGAGGCACGGGATTATTCTGAAGCGAGGACAGGGAAGGGGGCAGAAACGGGATGGGGGGTGGAGACGGGGTTTCAGAAGGTACTTGGGGTGGAGAATCTACGGTCAGATCAATGAGAAGTGGCGCGGACGCTCCTGTCGTTTGTGTGGGAAACCCCGCCACAGGTGTAAGCACTTCCGGGACCACTAGTGCTTCGGGAGGGATTTTCGGTAAGGAGAGTTTTCTTGGACCACCACATGCTGAGCATGACAACGCCACCGGAGTGTTCACTAAAGTACAACGAGGACACGCCCACTCCAATGACACCACCCCACTCATGGACAGCTCCCCGTTGGACTCCGCGCACCGGGACTCCCCATTGGCTACCTGCCCTTTGGCTTCAGGGCTGGAGGCGGGGTCCACAGGAGTGGGCGGGGCCTGTTTGGGTGGAATGGGTCCGTTGGCTGTAACTGGAGCGGCTCCGCACACAGAACATGTGCCTAATCCATGGTGATTGGTCAGGGTGCAGCGTGGGCAGGACCAGCGAGGTTCCTCAGCACTGCTGAGGCGCAGAATGTGGTTCAAATCCGGCTTCTGCCGGGGAGCTTCGCAAATGGAGCAACGTAAGGAACCACTGGAGTTAAGAAATGTGCAGCGTCCGCATGACCAATCAGAATTCCTCACAACTGCAGCCATCGAACCAGGAGAATGAGAGTTACTAAAAGAGAAAGAGAGAGAAAAAAACTATTAATAATGAAATTAACACTGGATATGAAAATTTAAAATCAGAGTGCAAAATACACACACAATACAAAAAAGCGGGCAAAGAAAAAAGGAATATGTACAGAAGATAACTGTATGGTATAAAATAGATTTCAAATAATATTTTATATATATATATAAATAGGCAAATAAACAATTATACTTAAAATTAGATAAATATAACAGCATAATTTACAGAAAGATCAAATTTATATTGTACGATTTTTAGTTTTTATATACAGTATATTATAGTTTAAGTATACTTTTTTACAGAATATAACTTATATTTAGTAATTCATATTTTTGAATATATAAATCATTAAATAGTTTATCATTACATTATTATTGGTATAATAATAATAATATTAATAATTAGTTTTATAGTTAGAATTATAGTAATAGTCAAATTATGTGGATTTGTTTTTACAGTTGATATCTAGGGAGCAGGGAGGATAATATAAATGCATAAATAATACTACTAAATTATCAATGAAAGATGAATAAGTGTAATCAAAAGGAGAAAATATCTCAAATATATTAAGAAACCATAAAGACGTTTTAAACACAACTCTGTTTTGTATAGTGTTGGTCTTTGGGTCGGTTCCCTGTGAGCATGCTGAGACATTTGGCCCCGAGTCTCCAAAAGCCATCGCATACACACAGTAAGACATTTGTAATGTGAGTCACAGTCATTAGCACTGGTCAAACAGAACTGGCCCTCATCCCAATCCTCACAGCGTATGTGTGTGTGTGTGTATTATATGACTCATTACTGATACTAACTGTCAGCTCGAGGAGGATCACGCTGATAAATAATGCAAAGAATCAAAGCTTGTGTAAGTATCCAGGGATATGTGCGCAGGACACACTTGCGTTCTGCAGCCTGTACACAAAAACCAGAGCATGGGTGTGTTCTGTGACCTATTAACACAGCTGGAAAGAAGGGAATTATTGGCGGAAATAGTTCATCTGAATACGCCATATAACAGCATTCCAACTGCATAATGTTTTTGGCTTCGGGCTGATGAACATCATGTAGAAACAATGCTGACTACTAGAATCCATTAAAAACAGTCACATAAGGAAATCTGGGACGGATGAAATCTGAGGCGAGGAAACATGCAAACGAGGAAAGGACATACGAGGTGAAAGAGCCATCAGAATTTATACAACAATCCATTTTTATGAATTAATATGGACATGTGCACTCAGGCTTGATGTGTCCTATATAGAGGAGACGATACAGGGCGAGCTGTCAGACTTTCACTCGTTTATTTCTCAGCGTAGGTCTATTTTTAAAAGTCAATTTCTATACAGAGACAAACCCTGATGCCTCAGCTACAAAATAGTGATTGTATTTAAATTGCACCATTACTGACCAGGAAAACACACACAGTTCATGGAACACATAATGTGGGGCATGTTGTCACAATGGAACCTGCTAATAATAACCATCTATTATTTTTCAGCAAAATGCACAAAGTAAAACAGTTAACAAAAAATATGAAACGTAACACTGAAATATCAAACTATTGTTTGGGCCAATAAATAAAATAGGAATTAATAAGTTCAAATTAATGTGACCGCTTGCCCCAACCTGATATTCATGAAAAAATATTTCCCGACAAACCGATGATCCAGGAATTTTTAGTTTAGAGGACAACATTTTGAAAGCAACGTACTAAAGCATACTGACATATTAAACAACTGTGTGTGTATCCGAGTTAGAGAGAGACACAGGGAGAGTTCATTCTGAATTGTGATTGGTTGAGGTGATAGGAGCTTGTTGCTATGGGAATAAATCCTCAAAAAAAGCCTCTGAGAGCAGCAACTCACTTTTCTACCACTGATAAAACATCCTGATAATGATCAACACACACACACACACACACACCCTAGAGGCGTTCAGCTGGATTCATGGAGTACATGATGTCACACCAGGACTCTACAGCATTTATGTCTCAAGTGTCAAAGGTCTGTGTTGTATTTTCACCTCAGACAAACTTAATGATGAAAAATAGATGGAAATGTGACACCTATAATTCTGAACAATTCTATAAAATATTTTAAATGACGTAAATTAACAACATTGTTATATACACTCACCGGCCACTTTATTAGGTACACCTGTCCAACTGCTCGTTAACACTTAATTTCTAAGCAGCCAATCACATGGCGGCAACTCAGTGCATTTAGGCATGTAGACATGGTCAAGACAATCTCCTGCAGTTCAAACCGAGCATCAGTATGGGGAAGAAAGGTGATTTGAGTGACTTTGAACGTGGCATGATTGTTGGTGCCAGAAGGGCTGGTCTGAGTATTTCAGAAACTGCTAATCTACTGGGATTTTCACGCACAACCATCTCTAGGGTTTACAGAGAATGGTCCGAAAAAGAAAAAACATCCAGTGAGCGGCAGTTCTGTGGGCGGAAATGCCTTGTTGATGCCAGAGGTCAGAGGAGAATGGCCAGACTGGTTCGAGCTGATAGAAGGGCAACAGTGACTGAAATAACCACTCGTTACAACCGAGGTATGCAGCAAAGCATTTGTGAAGCCACAACACGCACAACCTTGAGGCGGATGGGCTACAACAGCAGAAGACTCCACCGGGTACCACTCATCTCCACTACAAATAGGAAAAAGAGGCTACAATTTGCAAGAGCTCACCAAAATTGAACAGTTGAAAACTGGAAAAATGTTGCCTGGTCTGATGAGTCTCGATTTCTGTTGAGACATTCAGATGTTAGAGTCAGAATTTGGCGTAAACAGAATGAGAACATGGAACCATCATGCCTTGTTACCACTGTGCAGGCTGGTGGTGGTGGTGTAATGGTGTGGGGGATGTTTTCCTGGCACACTTTAGGCCCCTTAGTGCCAATTGGGCATCGTTTAAATGCCACGGCCTACCTGAGCATTGTTTCTGACCATGTCCATCCCTTTATGGCCACCATGTACCCATCCTCTGATGGCTACTTCCACCATGTCACAAAGCTCTAATCATTTCAAATTGGTTTCTTGAACATGACAATGAGTTCACTGTACTAAAATGGCCTCCACAGTCACCAGATCTCAACCCAATAGAGCATCTTTGGGATGTGGTGGAACGGGAGATTCGCATCATGGATGTGCAGCCGACAAATCTGCGGCAACTGTGTGATGCCATCATGTCAATATGGACCAAACTCCCTGAGGAATGCTTCCAGCACCTTGTTGAATCTATGCCACGAAGAATTGAGGCAGTTCTGAAGGCAAAAGGGGGTCCAACCCGTTACTAGCATGGGGTACCTAATAAAGTGGCCGGTGAGTGTATATATATATATATATATATAAAACTTCAAATAATTGAGTGTAGTATAGTAATAGTATATAATAATTATAGACAATATATAATAATTTTATAACCGTCGGTGTATGAGTGAGTGAGTGAATGGGTGAATGTGAGGCAATATGTAAAGCGCTTTGGTGGCCATTGGGTCTGTGAAAGCGCTATATAAATGCAGTCCATTTACCATAATAATAATTTTTTCATGAAATAATAATAATGTATTTCAACATGGTAAAAATGAGTACAGCAAATGTGAGAAAAACCTAAATAAACTAGTCAACCTCACTAATCCAGCTGGACTAGTTGACCATCATGGCCCCATCTGTAAGACACATGAAGTAAAAAAAAAAACCCAGTAAATATTAAAATATGATATTAAAAAGTTAATATGTACAGAGCAAATATGATTTTGAACACACAGAAGCGGCTCACAATTTGACGCTGCTGGAAACGCATTAAATAAAGTGCTTGTGAAGCTTCCTGGATCCTGTTAACACAAGAAATCCTTTAGAAAAATAACAAGGACAAGTTGAGTTCTTGCACTGCTCAATCCTTATAAAAATAATATGACGGAATTGTTTTAGCAGTGAGAATAATTCATATGCGCCTCGTCGTGCACCGTGCGACTCCAGCTGAGAGCTTGTTACTTCTGAAAGGCTCTTGTGCGAGTCTGTCTGTGTTGTGTCAGTTGTTAAAAAGGTCGGTGACAGACGTTTGTTTCACTGCTAGAACTTTTGGAAATGAACAGCCGCGTACAGCAGATGGGGAACAGAAAAAATGACATCTCTCCAAGCCTGACAGCTGAACCGCTGTTTTCTTGAACCCGGGGAAATATTCAACACTACTAGCATTTTATTTTTTCCCCCTTAAGTTCACTTATAATTATAATGATCATTTTATGGCTATTTTCCACCCTCTCTCTGAGCCTTTAAATAGGCTGTTGATTGCTTTTTTTATGTAAATGACTTGGGTTACGATTGCCTGATCTCAATGTACCGGCATCGTTTACACAAAAATTAAAGTTCTGTCATCATTTACTCACTCCCATCATGACTTTCTTCTGTTTGTGAAACATAAAATCATTTTAAGCAGAAACACCTGACTGTTTGGCATAAAAAAAATGAACAATGTTGGACAGTGTCAAGCTTCAAAAATGACTTAAAAGCACCATAAATTAAAATAAAATGATATATGAAGTCTTCTGAAACCATCCAATAGCTTTGTATGAGGAATAGACTTTTAATCTATAATAAAACTTACCCTCTGTTTTTATCGTTTATGTATGGCGACTCAAGATGTTAATAACAAGACATGCAAGAACCAGTGATGTTTTGATGATGACAAACCTTGCTAAATGTGCCTTGAGGAACTTTATTTGATTATAAACTGTATGCAAAAGAGCAGCATAAACAATCTACTAAACATCTTCTTTAAGAAATTCTCACAGGTTTGGAACAACATGAGGGTGAATACATGATGACAGAATTATATTTTTGAGTGAATACTTTCTTTAAATGTATATTAGCACCTCTTTTAAAGAGCAAGACGTGTGCTGATGATTCAGCTCCAGCACGCCTGCCTCAACATACGATGCAAACATGATTAACGTCTGTGTAATAGAGAAGATTGTCAAAGATGTGTGTTATCAGCACACACACACACACACACACACACACACATGTGTGAGACCTCATGGGTTCACGGGATGCCCCTGGCAAACAGTGGTAAAGGGAAAATCCTCGAGTAAAAAGTTGCCTTCAGTGCCATCTGCTAAGTCCAGACCATCTGCTTATCAAACACACACACACACACACACACATTCAGAACCTGTCCAAGAAGTTTCAGCTATACACTGTATTATTGACACAGTCCTACTGCACTACCGTTCAAATGTTTGGTGTTGTGAGATTAAAATGTCGTTTATTCCTGTGATCAAAGCTGAATACTCCAGGCTTCAGTGTCACATGATCCTTCAGAAAGCATACTAATATGATGATTTGCTGTTCAAGAAACAGTTGTTGCTTCATATTTTTGTGGAGAACATCATACTTTTTTATACAGAATTTTTGATGAATAAAAAAGCTCAAAGAACAGCATTTCTTTTAAATATTAATATTTTGTAACATTATAAATGTCTTTAGAGTCACTTTTGATCAATTTAATGCATTCTTGCTGAATAAAAGTATTAATTTCCTTAAAACAAACAAACCTAAACCTTTGAATGGTAACAAAATGCACCAACAACCCAGAATGCAGGACCACCTCAATCCTAATTTAACTCGAAATAGCATTTGAAACTCATTTGACGCATTTCCAGATGAAATACAGGGAGGGAATATTAATCAGAAAATGAATGGATGGTGTAAAGTGGGCAAACATTTTCATTAGAATAGCGTGCACGTATAAAATGTTTGCAAAAATACCAGGAAAATGCACAAAAAAAAAAATAGGCCAAATCTTAAAATGAATATATTTGAATTGCACATAAAATGTTCACAGTTTCAACATAAGTTTAAAAATGATGCATATTTGTCGGTCATACATAAATAAAACAGGTCAGATTTCTGCATTTAAAGAAAACCATGGCATAGTTGACTAACTAGAGATATTTGATTTTATTTAAATAATCATATTTTCGAAATGCTTAGAATCAGCTTTTTAAAAAAATCTTTATGTTAAATCTGTGTAATCCAAATCAAATGGAAATGTATATGCAATTCAAATACATTTTTGTAGAGTGTGTATAAGCAAAGTAAACAGTCGCGTTGACCTTGAATCACCTGATGAGGTGAAGCCTGCGCATGCATGCGTTTACCTGCGTTCTCTGTGTGGGATAGGCTGCTGTTGCTGCTGTTGGCGTGTGATGAAAGTGGTTCCCCACACCGGACTGCTGTGGCTGGTCCTGAGCCAGCCCATCGGAGCGGCCGAGGGGAACGGAGCCGTACCGAACCCGTGATCTGATTCTCTGTCCGTGGTCAGAGACGACGCAGAACTCCCCATTGCCACGACAGCGAGCAACTTCTAAACACACACACTGCGTCCCTCTGTTTGTCTTTCATACACATAAATACACACAAGCGACAAAGGTCAAAGGTTCTGGATCTCAGTTTGGTGGGTCAGACATCTCCTCTAGTCTGCCAGAGATCAACACCAGGAAGGGCCAGTGATTGACAGCGCTCGCACATGCATGCAAGTCCGCTGGCTAAAAACGTTCACAGGATCCACGGGTGCCGTTTCCCAAAGGCCTGCGAGGGCCACGGGGCCCTTCAGCTCAACGGGCCCGGTCTCTCTACGCGCTTAACCTGCCGTAACCTCGCCTGAGAGGAAGGACGACACTTCAGGGATGGCAGTACAATACATTACTGAAGCACTAGAGACCGTTTAAAGGTTTAAAAGAGGAACTAGAAAGTTTCCAGTCTCCATTGGAGCGCCGCGTCCCGTCTTGTTTTTCAATGCGACTGGTTGAGTCACGGCGCAGTCCCTCTAATCATGTTCTCTCTCTCTCTCTCTGTCTGTGGCTCATCTTTCCGCAGCTGTCACTGGGATTACGATGCGTCACATTTCATCCAGCCTGCAGAAGCAAATATTCCTTTCATCGCAAACAAACATCAGCGTCCAGAGAACAGGCATATGAGTCTGTGTGCATCTATGCAAGCGAGTGAATAAGTGCATGTACGCGCTTCCTGCCCATGCATTTAATCTGCGAAACACGCGTGGGCCAATTTATTAAACAACGCCCACGCTGTATAGTACAACCTATTAAAAACAGAATCATAAGGACATTTGAAGAGGTTTTAACTAGTAAAAAAAACGAGCCAAATGTTGAAATAAAAATATTTTTAAAAAGGTATTCTGGCTGATACAGATAACCAATATTATTTCATGGCCAATATGACGACTCTATATGTTTTGCATGCTTACAAAATAACTTTTTTTTATATTTACAATCAGGCACTGAAACTCTGTTTTAACGTTCAGCAGAAATGACGGAGAACTTTATAAACATTAAGCTAAAATGTAACTTTCTGTATCTAATTCTGACCGATATGACACTCATAATATTTAAAATGATAATTAAAAACATCAATACAAATTAAAAATCTGCCAATACCAACTTAGACACCTAAATATTGTGCATCCCTAGTAAATGTATAATTACGGCATAGAAAATATAATCAGCCAGATATAAAACCACAACATAACATGTATGCGACCGCGCATGCATGCAAGCAAGCATATGTGTGTGTGCAAACAAACCCCTATGCAAGTCTCAGTGTGGATGCATGCATGCGTGTGTGTGTCTTCGGGTTCCTGACCCAGCGGAGGCCCTCAGCGGGTCAGACTGCAGGAGCTGCAGTGAATGTCCTCCTAGGTCCAGCTGCTCGTCTCATCTAAAGCTCATGCAGATGTTTCTAACGTGACAGCGTTGGCTGTGAAGGTTCTCATCTGTCTCTCAGGCACTCGAGTATCAAGTTTGACACTCAGATCATGACTATGAATATTTAACGGCGCAGAGAGGCTCGGGTGAGGTGCAGTGGTCTCGGGCCCGGTCAGGGCAGGAGCGCTCCGGTTCCGCCGGTCCGATGTGGGTCTTAACGGCGGTCCAGCACCGAAAGCATCCGGATGGATGATACAGACAAATCCCTGCGGCTAAACTGCGCTCGTCCGGGTGTGCGGTTCCGTGAGCCCGTTCGGTCACTCATGATTCGGCTCGAGCGGATGATGATGATGATGCTGATGCCGCGCGCCGCATAAACACACACAGCCAGCCGCCAAACTGCAGCGGTGCTTTCACGCGTCTCCTCACGGGACTCATGATGACAGCATGCGTGTGTCTAAAGCGCAGTTTGATGTGCATGCATATGCAGCCGCGGTTATTTATTTGATTCGGTTCTTAATTCAGCCTGTTTCTCTCCAGCACGCGCAGATGCGCGAGGAAGGATTACGGCGAGTCAGCAGCGCGCATGCGCAGATTCAATGCTCAGGCTCTCCTAAAGGATTCAGAATCTCTCGTATCAAAATACACAAATAATCTAGAATCTAGATTATAAGTGGGTGAATCTCACAAAGCCTGTCAAGAACATTTCTGGGTCGTATTTCACCTCAAAAATCTCAACTAAAAAAAAAAATATATACTATTTCTGAATTATGATAATATTTTTGGACTATTAAAATGAATTTCCAGCCAAAATGTCTTAAAGTGAATAGAAAAAATGAAAGGGTGACCGCATGCCGTTACAAAAGGTTTATGTGCTGTGATGAACATATTTGTATGTGGAGGTCAGTCATGTATCATTTGTTAATGTGATTAAGCATTAAACAGATGCCAATTTTTTCTATATTTTGAGAGATACTGAAGAAATTGCCATAAAAATTCCAGATTAGTGCATTATTAAAAGAAAAGATAAATGCTGACTTGCTGATGTACAGAATGTGGAAAATGTTTAGAGGACAGAATCTTAATGTTCCTGTTACTGGCTATTTAGATGCAAACTTCAAAAAATAAAAAATAATAAAGTCCCCAAAAAAACGTAGAAACAGGGCCTGTCACATAAGAATGTATGCATTCAACGAGCAATGCATTAATGATAGCAGTATCAGAAGGTGAAAGAGCATAGGCCAATGAATGCATGTTCAGAAAGTTTGTTGTTTCCACGTAAATATGTTCTTTCACTTTCGCAATACCTCAGCTCATAAAACCAGTCTGACAAGATCATGTGCGCAGACACACACATGAAAACCGGCTACAGATTCTTGAAGGGTGAGAGAGCCGATGTGTGAATCCACTTATTGAAACCACAACATTCTCCTTTATGGCCTGTGTTAACAATTACAAATCATGCAACCATAATTAACCAAGACATGTGACACTGACAACTGCAGATTCATGAGAAAATGAGTCACTGCATAGGAACGCACACACCTTTACTTCACATCTCAATATGCTCATACCATACAGTTCTGATATACAGCTAACTGTACTAACACTACATTTACACACACACACACACACACACACACACTACAGTAACACCTGTTACACACTGTATATATATATATATATATATATATATATATATATATATTCAGAGCCAACTGATGCATAAGAGACAGCCAGATTGCTGAATACAGACAAACAGAAACAATTGGATCAAACGAAACTGCACTTCAATACTCTCTTACTAATAGGCAGAAAACAGAACTGAGAAGGACAGAGAGTGAACGACATTCAGTCTGAATGAGGATTTGATGAATTGAAGACAGTTTCTATTAGTCAAGATGAGCATTTTCATGAAGTGATTCATATAACAAACTCATATCTCTCTCTCTCTCTCTCTCTCTCTCTCTCTCTCTCTCTCTCTCTCTCTCTCTCTCTCTCACACACACACACACACACACACACACACACACTAAGCTCAGCTTTACAGTTTGATGTTTTCACACACCACTGATTAAAATACCAAATTTCAACTGCTGAAGGACAATTTCCACATCTCAGAATTCACTTCCTACTTCAGATGCATCCATAAACCAGCATTTAAATCACCACTAAACCAGAGCCTAAACCAGAACTTAAACTGTGTCAAACCACATCTTAAACCATTACAAAACCAGCGTTCGAGTTTAGAACCAACAGTTCTTTCAATGACACAATGTTACATTGAATCACTTCGCCAAGGAAGTTGAACAGAAACGATACAGTGTAACATTGGATTTGACTGTCGCTCGAGCCATTAAAGAGACAGAATCCCTCAAAACACACACATTTACATTAAATATAACCTATAGATTGACACGTGATGTTTGTTGTGATGTTATGATCTATTTAATCTGTGTTTAGAAAAGTGATCTTACTCGTGAAGCACAGGCAGACCTTTGGATGGACCGATCTGATCTTGTCTTCCTTGATTTGCCCGTTTAACTTTGGTCCGGAATGAGCAATTTATTCCAAAAAATCTTCATAAATACGCGCTTTCAGTCTCCACGAGCTGCTTTTTCCGCCGATCCATGCTCGTTTGTGGATAGGTTGATGTGTGATGTGATCTGGCTGGTTTGATCTACTGCATTAATCTCGCAGGGTTCCTCATGCTCTATGGTAATAATCACAAGAAACAGATCACTGCGCAATCGACGTAAACCCGGACTCGGTCACGGCGCTGCGCTGCTCAGATTGCGCAACTCCCGTTCAGAATACGGATTTCTGAAACTCGTTTCCCAAAATGCCTTGTGTGTATTGGAGAGAGAGGTACAATTCTTATTGGACCGCAAATGTTGTCGGCCAGAAACTGTTTCCTAGGAAACACACAGGATTATTCCTACAGGGGGCGCTCGGCGGCCCAGAAATCTGAAACCTCACGACGTTTTTGTTTTTTATTTATTAAAAATATTTGTTTGACAAAAACTGTATATTGTTAAATCTACCAATTAAAAAAAATAATATCATATGTCTATAAAAGTATTATTTTCAATCCTCATCCAGCCAATACAATCAACTGTGATTGGTCCATTCTGATAAGCGCAAAGAAAAGTAACAGTTATCACGTGACAAGGCCTTCTACTTCATCAGCGTCTGGACAATGTTTTACACACAAAAACGACAGTAAGATATTTTAATTGTCGTTGAATGTAATGTTAACAAACAGGATAATTAATATAAAGTACTTGAATATTTAGAGACAGCTTCTGGGCCTCAGCGTGACCATTTTTCTACAGCCATTCATTCGATTTCTATGAGAGAGTAACTTTCGGATGCGGTTAAATTAAGTCGGTTTCTTCAAAAAAATATGCCAAAAGCGAAACTGAGCCTCTAGTAAATTACAAGAGATAAGAAGAAATAGATATATATATGTATACAAAATTAAAAAAAAGTTAATACTTTGTTCTCATCATAAATGTGATGTGACAGCGTAAGTAGGCCTACTGCCCATTCTGAGGAAACGTTTACTATGAAACTCTTAAGGACAGCTCTGTATAATTACCGATGATTAATAAAGTACATGCAGATATTTCAGCACTATTGTTTTGATGGTGAATAGCGACATCTAGCGGAAGAAGATAGCAGCAGTTTAATAATGTATCACTCTTTCCAAGTGCCCCATCTAGTGGTTAACAGTGGAAGTTCCAGGAA